AGGTGTTTTCTTTATTAAACGAAGCCGGTCTAAAAGTTAATGTCGAAAAGTGCAAATTTGCAGCCCCTGAATTAATTATTAAATATTTAGGTTACAAAATATCTCAGAAAGGAATCGAGACAGACGAATCAAAAATAATCGCTGTACAAAAGTATCCGACTCCGAACACGGCAAAGAAGCTCTCTTCTTTTTTCTAGGACTTTGTTCATATTATAGGCCCTTTATAAAAGATTTTGCAGCTATTGCTAAGCCATTGTTAAAATTAAAAAAAAGAAAAAGGCAAGATTCTCGTGGACGGCCGAAGCCAATAGTGCTTTCGAAAAATTAAAATAAGCATTAACGCAAGCCCCTGTGTTGAAATTTCCTGAAAAGGATGAGGATGAGAATTTAGAAATTTCAGCGGATGCTTCGGATTATTATGCGGCAGGAGCAGTACTTTCGCAAAATCAGCAGCCCGTGGCATTTTTTAGCCGAACTTTAAATCAAACACAAAAAGAAACTATTCCGCTACCGAGAGAGAGGCACTTGCAGTTCTGTTAGCAGTGCAAAAGTTCCGAGTCTATTTTGGAAAGGCGCCAATAACAGTGTGCTCTGATCATGCGGCGGTAACTAGATTGTACTCAGGGAAAAACTTATCCCCAAGGTTAATAAGATGGGCACACTCAAGCTACAAGAATATAATCTGGTAATCAAGCATACCCCCGGAAAGGAAAATATCGTAGCAGATGCCCTATCCAGAATTAAAATAGATGAAGAAGGTAATACCGTAAAGGTGGCAATGCTCACAGCATGTACAATAAATTCCCGAGAAACTGTAATAACCGAACTGGGTAAGGATCCTGAGTTTGGAAGCATTTATGAGTATTTTAAAGGATCCTGAAAATTTTAGCCACCAAGATATTGTGGCGATAAGAAATAGGGCGGCCCATTACGAACTAATAGATGGTCTATTATTCTATACAAAAACTACGAATTCCAAACAACGAATTTCGACCTGTTATCCCAGCTAGTCTTAGATTAAATATCCTGCAGGAGCTCCATGACAGCCCTTTAGCTTCTCATGCTGGTATTCGAAAAACTATCCAACGCGTACGCGAGGCAGTCTATTTTCCTGAACTGCAAAGTTAACAAGGGCGTATGTCCAGTCCTGCCCAACATGTCAAGCAGTTAATTATATTAATTTCCGCCTGGCCGGGTTTCTAAATAATAGTATTAAATCCGAATTTCCAAATGAAATAATTGGCATCGATTTATTGGGCCCTTTCCCAAAAAGTCAGTTAAATAAAAAAAAGTCGCTATCTCCTTGTTATGGTTGATCATTTTAGTTAGTGGACCGAAATTGTTCCCTTAAAACGAGACTCCGCGAAATTAGTTACTGATTCTATTTTAAATAAATATATTTTAAAATACGGGGCGCCCCTAAAAGTTATATCGGATAATGGTCCTCAATTTGTAAGTAATGTATTTGAAGACGTGCAAAAAAACTGGGCATACGTCATTTAAAAATGGTCCCGTATCGGCCGCAATCAAATATAGCGGAATGGGTCAATAGAAATATAGTGAAAATTATCCGTAGTTATGTTAAAAATTTTCATAAAAGCTGGGATAACTATGTCAATGAATTTGCTTTCGCCCTTAGGACCGCAAAACATGATACAACGGGCAAAACTCCTGCTGAGTTATTTTTAGGCAGAAAGATTATAACGCCGTTAGATAAATTATTTTATGTGCAACAAAGAGCCCCAGAATTTAAAATGGGTGGTATAGAAAAACTAATTAAAGAAGCAAAAAAAAAAAAAAAAAAAAAAAAAAAAAAAAAAAAAAAAAAAAAAAAAAAAAAAAAAAAACAAAAAAAAAAAAAAAAAAAAAAAAAGAATACGGAAGTAGCACAGAGAAAACAAAAGCTGTATTACGACTTGAAACGACGGGGAGTAACTTATAAAGTAGGGTATGAAGTATTAAAAAATTGACTCAAAAGTTTTTGAAAAGGATCGGATCGTCCCCAAGGTTCTCAACTCCTCATCATCCAAGTTCAAATGGCCTGGTAGAAAGATTTAATACTGTTTTAAAGGGAATGATACATCATACTATTAGAGAACATTCCAAAGATTGGGAGAAACATCTACCGTACTTACTTTGGGCTTACCGAGAAGTTCCTAATGCTACGACTGGGGTTAGTCCTTTTCAAATGCTTTATGGAAGACGACCTAATGGCCCGTTGTTTGTTTTGAAAACGTCATGGATTAATGAAACTCCTGTTCCTCATGGACAGTTAAGTTCAGTTAACGATTATCTGAATGATTTGAAGACGAAATTGGAAAAGCAACAAGCTTATGAATTCTATCGTAACCGAAAGACTCGTCATAAAGAATTCAAGGAAGGTGACAGGGTCATAGTTTTAATCCCTGATAGCCAAAACAAAGTTTATGCCAGATGGACGGGACCTGCTACGATCATCAAAAAGCATACTGATTATAGTTTCATAGTACAAATGCCTGACAATTCCTCGAAGCACGTTCACGCAAACAAGATACGGGAGTTCAATACCGCTGTGAATAATATCGGGGTGATATATATTGACATCGGCGAAGTTGAAAACGTTCCAAGAATTGTTCCACGGAAAGCAAAAGAACGCTATTCTAATGAAGAATGTGATTTTACGCACTTTGAACTGCATAAGAAGAAAGAACTTATGGAAATTTTAAGAAGGCATAAGAACTTAAGAACTGGTATTCCAAAAATCGCCAATGTGAGAGAACACAGCATCAAATTAAAACCTGGAAGTATGCCATAAAAGCAGAAACCGTATCGAATACCTGAAGTTCTAAAGAAATGGAGTTGATCGTCAAATAGATAAGCTATTACAGCTAAAGCTAAACGTTGAATCAAAAAGTGAATATGTGCATCCAGTAGTTTGTGCATCAAACAAAATATAACGGTAACTTTATGTGTAGACTAAAAGACTATGCTGAGTTTATTGATGACGTGACTTAAAATGACATGATTATATTTCGCAATGAGTGAAGCATGACTGACGTTATAAACTATGAACTATAAGACATTTTGACTGTTTAGTTTGAATTTTTTTTTTTTTTTTTTTTTTTTTTTTTTTTTTGAGCTAAAATGCTAATTTTTTTTTTCTAACGTTATGTAATAGGTTTAATGATTTAGCCAGGGTTTGCTAAAGTATTATGTTTAATTTTAAATGATTGATTTGTATTGTCTCGTTTATATGATAACTGCTTATATGATTATGATTATGTGAAGGATTTAAGTTTGAAAGTTAATTGAATGTTACATCCTTTTAAATGAATATTATTACTGAATTTATGTTGAGGTAATTTTAATTTAAAATGGTAAAAATTGGTTAATTAAGTTCGAAAATTTCATGAATGTTATTTTATTTTGTTTCAAGAAATGTTTATATATGTGGATTTGACAGGTCATTGAAAGACGCAATCAAATCTTTTCGAGGGGGGTGTCATGACGTGATGACCACGCATGCGCAGTTTAGCCGAACGGCCTGCAACGCCTCTCTCTCATGGGACGTACTAGGATTGGATTGGATTATTTAATTACGGCAAAGCACACGAGGGCTATCTGCCTAAGGGGAGGGATGCCTTCGTGGAGGACTTTCTAAGGGAAACTGGCTCATATATACGTTACACATGGGGAAAACCACGAAAACGCCCATGCAGCCAGCCCGTTTGCGGGATTCGAACCTCGGACCGAACTACCAGTGTTTAGCGTCTTTACCGCTCGGCCGCTGGTGGGCAATGGGACTTACTAGAGAAGAGTAGTTAGTAGGTAGTAGCGAAGTAACGAAGGAAACGTGCTGCATGTCTGCTTAGATGCAAAATACGCAGTTATACTTGCGCGTTAATCGTTTGTACTTATTATTTTTATTTGTGTGTTAATAAAGTTTTGTGCCGTTAAAATGGCTGTTTTATGTAATGCCTACATTACGATACGTCTACGGTAGGAATTAAATACATATCCAGAATCTACACGCCCAAGAAGAAGGATATGACAGAGAGAATGATATTATTATCTAGGTCGAAGTGTCATGGGTGTGACCTGATCCGTGCTCTGGATTTCGTACTGGTCCGGGAAGTAGGCAGTGTTCCAGAGCCGAGAACATTGGTGGAGCCGGAGAGTAAGTGAGATCGTGGCTTCACGCTCAGCGACCAGGTCAAGAGGCGGAATACCAGGTGTGAAGATAACCATAGAGCAATCACCAGATATTTTGATGAGAAAAAAAGTTGAACACTACATTGTTACTAGAAAAATTGAAAGACCTGTCAAGGTATTAGGGGCATCCCCTCAGACTTCCCGGTACATGACTTACAAGAACTAACAAATAAAGGCTACAAAGTAAAAAAATCACACAAATGCACAGATTAAAAAGCAAAGTCCCTATGCCCCTGTTCCAGATGCAACTTGAGAATGCCCCTGGCATTGAAAAGTTTTATGATCTAAATTATTTCATGTATTTTACATAGACGTTATTGCTTTGTAAGTCAAAGGAAGTGTTGTGCAGTGTCACAACTGCCTTTACATAGACGTTGTTGCTTTGTAAGTCAAAGGAAGTGTTGTGCAGTGTCACAATTGCCAACACTTCAATCACTCTTCTGAAATGTGCAAACTCAAGTCCAGATGCGTTACGTGCGCTGGGCCCCAGAAAACAGAAAACTGCTCATCAAAATAAATAAATAAATAAATAAAAACTTCAAATGTTGCAACTCTTTACAAAGCGGCCACACCTCGAACTATCGTGGTTGTCCGAAATATCCTTCTATCAACTCAACTAAGCCTTTTAGTAATAAAACTGATGAAAATATAAATATAAACAAAGCAGTTAATACTAAAACATCAAATGCTACACCTGGAATCACCTATACAAGTAGTTGTGCAAAACAATTATTCTTGCAGAAATGTTTCTAGTAATAAGAAAACTAATGATCCAGGCCTAGGTGCCTTTTATAAAAGTGTTATCTAACATGTTCAAAGGTCTCGCTCTCTATAGAATTCTTAATAAAATTGCTATCAAACTACCAGAACTCCAGGCAGCTCAAAACCCTATAGATAAACTATTAGGAACAGTGAACACAATAAGTCATGATCATTTGTTGTTCCGAAAAGCGAGTCCACGCTGGGTCCCAAAGCAGCTGTCTGCTTTTGACAGACACAAAAGAGTTGAAGTCTGTAGAGAACTGAAGGAACGCTATAAATGGGAAGGCTGGGATTTTCTTAATCGCATCATGACATGTGACGAAACATGGGTTCACCATTTCACGACGAATCCTAAAGAGCGTCCTTGCAGTGGAAGCATACGAACTCACCACCTTCCAAGAAATTTCGAACAGTTCCGTATACTGGTAAGTGATAGGAAGTGTATCCTGGGATAACCAGGGAATTATTCAAGTTGATTTTTTACCCCATGGTGTCACTATCAACAGTGAGTATTACTGCCGTGTTCCGTGTGATGTGCATAAGAGTTTACAGATGAAACGTCCGGGTTTGCTCACAAAGGATTTTCTCTTTTTGCAAGACAATTCACGACCGCATGCTGCTCAACGCGCATCTCAAACAATCCAGGAACTCAGCTGGGAGATATCACCACACCCCCTACAGTCCTCACTTAGCGCCAAGTGATTTTCACCTGATTCGGACCCTGAAGGAATTCCTTGGAGGAAAACATTTCAACACTGATGCTGAAGCGTAGAATGGTGTCCTACAATGGTTCCGTCGTAATACTAAATCTTTCTATGCCGAAGCATTCCAGGTGTTAGTTAAACGCTGGGATAAGTGTATAACTGCAGTTGGAGATTATGTAGAAAAATAAATCTACATTTCACACCTTATTTTTTTTTTTTTTTTTAAAGTCCCGCATTGATTTGGACGATCCTCGTACAACCTGTCTCAAGTCACTTACCAAGAACTTGTGGCATCCATGCCAAAGCGACTTGCAGATGCTTTGCAGACCACTGGTCTCGCAACATGTTATTGAGTAGGTGGTCAAAATGTTTTGGCTCTTCAGTGTATATTGGGTTAAATTCTCAATAACTATCATTCGTTACAATATAGCTTCTCTTCTATGCAATGCAAGAAGTTCAAATATATTTACATCAATACCTTACGAATCACAACGAATAAGATTTCATTATAAATTTAATATATTAACTAAGCAAAAAGATTCAGATACTTTTTCGTAAATTTATACACACAAAAACTAGTATTGAAATTAATTTGCATCAGATGAGTTATAAACTATTCAAGTCTGATAACTGACCCAAAAAAATGTGAAAAACTGCGAAAGTAAGCAACATGAATAGAAAGAAAAGAAGCGGGATTTTAATTCTTTTTAAAATTTTCTTCCGGATTGAACAATTAACATGAGATATATGTAAATAAATTAATTCTGCAGCCACGTTTCAAAATAAAATCTGGTGTGAAATCCACAATGCCCAAGAAAAATAATTTTTATCTCAGACAACTAGCTCTTTTCTTATTTACCAGAAAGTTTGACATTCGGCTGAAATATAAAATAATTTCCTAAAACTGGGAATTCCAGTGAACTTCAAGGATTCTGACTTCCTTTACCTTCATTTTTGTCGTTTTTGTCATGTGCTCGCTTCAAGAAATTCAGAATTGTTCTCACAATAAACCCGTAATTGAAGTTTGGTATACGCAACACTGAATCCAGCTGTTTTATCTGCTTCCAAGGACCCCCTATCTACGTCATATATATATGAGGCAGGTAAAAGGCCCTTTAAAACTTAAAAGAAGACGGATTCTGTTATACACATCCATCTTCTTTTAACATAAATGTACTTCAGCCGAGCCTCCTAAGCCTTCGAGTCCCTATGCGATGTCATTTCTTGCATACCCTTATTTACGCCACTGTCTTCTATAGTTTCTCCTCTATAAAATAAGTCATCAAAGTAAATAGAAGAATTAAGCATTCCAAATCTCTCCGTATATACCTCTTAGTGTGTTATTTTACACTCATGTCCATAAATTAAGGATAATGCAAAATCAGGCAAAGGAAGAGTTAGAAGCAAAACAAATTTGACTTATTTGTAAAGCTTATTTAGTAAACAAAAGGTAAAGAGCAAAAAAAAAAAAAGACGCTATATATTTGATATTATTAAAAAAATTAGCGATTTTTTCTCCCTGGAGCAAATTACAAAAAAAAAAAAACTTATTTACAAAAAAACCAATATTACATGGTTGGTATGATTGTTAATACATTGTATGCCTCCCAGACGATGCAATACAGTCCGTACAACGCCTAGGCATGCTGAATATCAAATTATCTATATGATCTTGGGGGATATTACACCACTCAAAAAGCAATATTCTCCGAAGTTCCGGTAGACATGTAGGAGGAGGTTGACGGGCTGCAACTCGTCGGCCAAGCATGTCCCACATGTGCTCTACTGGATCCAAGTCCGGTGAGAATGCTGGCCAGTCCATACGGGTGATATCCTCCGATTGAAGGCATTCGCTTACGATGTTTGCACGGTGAGGACAGGCGTTGTCATCCATAAACACAAATTGTGCGCCCATGGCGCCCCGAAACAAACGTACATGTTGTTCCAGAATGACGTCCCGATAGATTTGGCTTGTCATGGTTCCAATTTGAACATGCAGGTCAGTTCTGGAACCCAGAATAATTCCACCCAAACGAGCACTCCTGCACCACCGTAACGGTGTCGTTCAATGATGTTTTCTTGGTGGTAACGGGTACCTGAAGCTCTCCACATGAAAGTCCGGCGAGAATCAGACTCAAGCTAAACCTGAACTCGTCGGGAAACATCACACAAGCCCACTGTTGCGGTGTCCACAATGCATGCTCTCTACTCCAGGCTAACCGCAGGCGACAGTGAGTTGCAGTAAGTGGAACGCATCTGACAGGTCTACGAGCATATAGATCAATCTGCCCTAAGCGTCTGTACACGGTCTGCCTTGAAATTGTCCTACCAGTGGCTGAAGAGAACTGACGAGACAGGTCTGAGTCTGTGCTCCGCCTGTTTCTTTTGGCAGTAACTGCCAAATACCGGTCCTCATTCGGCGTTGTAACTCTGGGGCGACCTATGCTGTAACGTCTACTCACATTACCATCATCCTGGAATCGTTGCCAAAGCCTGGAGATGACACTCTGGGCAATTCCAAGTTCGTCTGATACTTCCAGTTGGGTACGCCCACATTCCAGACGGCCGATAATTCTTACCCTACCACGTAAAAAATCATCCAAATGCGTCCTTTGTGTCATAACTATTCGGTTATTGCACTGAAATGCTTATAAAGCGCCTGCGAACAATTTTATTTCTTTGCCTGTATTCCTTATATATCACTCTCTTACACTCTCGTCATCATGACGTGCCATTGGTGTCATCTGGTTACTTCCTGAAATTTGCATATGATTCTTGAAGATGTGTGTAGTGATTTTACAGGTGATATATTTATTTTAGAGTTCGATTTCCACGTGACTCCGAATTATCCTTAATTTATGGACATGAGTGTATTTTAGCAGCTGATAAGAAGGGACTAATATCTGCCTCGAACGAGACTCGACACATGCGCATAATATTACATGATTTGGAGATCATTTCCAAACAAGAAGAATCTTAAGTAATCCCTATCTTCTTCTGCAATGCCAATCATTAAAAAGGCCTTTTCTCTAACACCACAAAATGCAATTTCAGTATCACGTCAAGAACTTTCGGATTCAGATTTGGGCCGGTTTCCAGACATTCATTTAAAGATTTGAATTTTTCGGTCTTCGAAGCAGCATTGTAAACTTCGCGGACGCTAGTAATCTCAGAATCGCTAATTACGGCCGGTGCCAGATATAATACTGTGAAAGTTTGATTCCCTTTGGGCATTCTTCGACTATTTTTTTCGTTAACTACTCTTTAATAACTTCCTTATGATTTTGCAATATTTTTTAAAAATTTTATTTAGGGAAATTTTGTTTAAAAATTGAAACCGCGCTTTTGCGATATCATAACTATTTCCTAGTTCTTCCGTAGTAAATTTTCGCAATAGTTTACAGTTGTATCGCCATTTTTAAATCGCATATTTCATTCAAAATGGCTAATTGGGGCCCATTGAGTTGAGCTTCCAAAATACACTCAATTCATATGACACCGTGGAATTTATTACTATTACTGCTAAGTGCTTCGAATCATTATCTTGTTTTAATATGCTTATTTCCCAGTAACAGCCATCCGAAAATGGAATTTACAGCTTGGAGATGTTTATTTCATGAATTTTCGACTTGCCAGCACTACATCCCAGAATCGGTTGGCGATAATTAATATTCCCAGGTGTTGTAATTCTTCATAGTTATTTACATTCAGATCCGCTGAATGCAAGCCTAAGCATCGCGCGTTTTCGAGCGTGTTATGTCTGGGTCTCTTTACGGGACAAGCTGATATTGTGTTAGTCACTAGACATTTCATATTTATTTTATTCTTTTGATTTCTATCCCTTAATTCAATTACGACCACAGGGTAATTCTCAATTACAGGTTTCTTAGTTCCAAACGAAAAAAAACGACAATCTTTCATTTCGGATAGGTTCTAAATTTAAAGTTCTCACTAAGGTATCTTTAATGAACAATCTTCCGCTACCTTGATCAAGAAGAATACAAGCAACTTTAATTTCGTTTTCGTTGCAAGCTAAAACAGTACATGTTTGTAATAAAGTATTTATCGAAACAGAAAAATTACATTGAGCAACCAAAGTATTAGTACACACACTGGCCAATGAATAAAAAAATCCTCTGAGATTTTCATTTGAAAACGTGGTGGGGATGAAGTATGCAAATGTGTTTTATGACGTGGGTTACACGTGGTTAAAATGCTACTAAAAGTAAGGCGTAAGAGTGCTTTTCACTATGAATGAAGTAAAAGGGGAAAAACGGCAGATCTTTCACCATTTGAAAAAGGTATTATTGTTGGTGCCCGTTAAACAGGAGCCTCGATTTCAAAGACAGCAACTCTCCTTTAGTTCTTGAAAGCTGCCATATCAAAGGTTTTCAGAAGTTGGAATCAGAACCCACACTCCTTCTCTAAAAGACGTAACTGCGGTTCGAGCGGTTTTCCAACAGAGTGATCAGCGTAGTTTCCGACGAACTGTACGGCAGAACAGGAACTATAACTGTGCTTCAACTGACAGATCGTCAACCAAGGCTCTTCCCAACAGAGCTCAGCTCGAACCATGCGCAGATATTTGCAGGGGACAGGAATGCATAGTCGGGTACTTGCGAGAAAACCACTCATTTCTTCTCGACATGCAAAAATTCGTTTGCAGTGCTGTCGGGAAAGAAGACACTGAACATCTGAGGATTCGAAACGGGTAATGTGGTCGAATGAATCACGCTACGCCTTACTCACTG